ACAATAGTTGAACAATACACCAAAAGTGATACAAAAGTTTCCTTACCATAAGCTAGGTTGGGGTACTTTAAAGGCACAAGTGGTCTGGTTCAACACTTGGGTACCCCTTCCTTAAAATAGTTTGTTAAGCCATTTCCTAGTTGGCAAGAGGAAACATCCACTATGTTTGAGGAGTCATAATGGATTTTTAAAAATTCTACAAAAAGAGAAAATTACAATACTTTGACCCAAAACATCTTTAATACTAAGGTATTTACATAAAAATTTACAAGGCAAAAAGACTATATTTGACCCTCCAAAAGTTGGCCTAAAGTTGCTACTGGGCAGACAAGTCTGTGGCCTGCTGTGGCTGGGCTGCTTCATGGCAGGCCTTGGGCCTTGGCTTGCACTTGCACCAACAATTTCTTGGGCATGTTTTTGGCTCTCCAAAGGGCACAAATGAGTGTGGCATCAAGGTGTTGACCCATGGATGGGAGCACCTTAACAGTCTTCCTCATTTAAACAGTCAACGCCCTTGACGACTTTGCCCAATAAGCATCAATCTCGTCTTGAAAAGCCGACAAGTCTGCCTCCCGTTCCCAGCTGATTTCTTCATCTCCAAGGCCTCTCCATTTTACCAAGTATTGCCTTTATTTCTTCTTGGAAACCATTTTCACCCGATCGACCAAAATAGATTCAACAGACTTTTTTCCTGCTTTGGCTATGATTGTTTGGCGTTTCAGCTCATTTCGGGTTGGATCTTCCTTGTCTGGATAATAAGGCTTCAGATAACTCACATGGAAAATTAGGTGCACTTTCAGCCAAGATGGAGCATCTATCTTGTAAGCACACTTGCCAATTCTCTTCAAAATGGTTACCAGTCCCTCATACTTGCGCACTAGCCTTTTGTCTCTTCCCTTCATGAACTTGCGTTGCTCAGGGTTGAGTTTGACAAGAACTTGATCCCCAAAACTTAAGTGGCCTCCTCTTTTCATCAGCTCATTTCTTCATTTTACTTGCTACTTTTTTAAGATAGGCACGAGCAATGTCATGGTTTCTCTTCCATTCCTTAGCAAATTGGTAAGCCCTGGGTGACTTTCCTTCATAAGGTCCATCCACTGTGTGGGGCAACAGTGGCTGCTGTCCATTCACTATCTCAAAAGCACTCTTGCTCGTAGAGCTGCTCTTTTGAGAGTTAAAGCATAACTGTGCTACATCAAGAAGTTGCACCCAATTTCGTTGATTAGCATTGACAAAGTGGCACAAATACTCCTCGAGCATACAATTGAAGTGTTCAGTTTGCCCATCCATCTCCGGATGGTAGCTTGATGAAGTATTAAGTTGTGACCCAAGAAGCTTGAATAACTCCATTCAAAAGTTGCCAATGAAATGCGAATCCCGGTTACTAACAATACTTTTAGGCAACCCCAATATTTAACAATGTATTTGAAAAAGAGTTGAGCAGTCTTCTCCGCTGAAACATACTTTGGGGTAGCTACAAAGGTGGCATACTTGGAGAATCGGTCCACAATAGTCAAGATAGTCCCGATGTCTCCCACTTTAGGCAGTCCAGAGATGAAGTCAGGTGATACATCAACAACATGGTTGGTGGCACCAGCCTTGTATTTTGAGGCAAAATCAAACTCTGCCAACTTCTCTTGCCACCGTGCTTGTCGTGTGCTCAGATTGGGTTATGTTAAGAAATGCCTAACCGCCATGTTGTCAGCCTTTACAACAAATTGTGAGCCCAAGATGTAGTGCCTCCAAGTCCTCAGACAATGCACTACTACAAGTAACTCTTTCTCATAAGCTGGATATCTCTGCTCGGCATCATTGAGCTTCCTACTCTGATAGGCAATTGGGTGACCATCCTGTAAAAGAACACCATCCAAAGCAAAATCAGATGCATCAGTTTCTATCTCAAAAGCTTTACCTAAGTCAGGTAGAGCAAGAACAGGGTCTTTTAACATAGCTTCTTTCAAGGCTTGAAAGGCTTATTGGCACTCTTCTGTCCAAACACATGGCTTGCTCTTCTTTAGAAACTTTGTTAATGGGGAAGCTAGTCTTGAGTAGCCTTCAACAAACTTGCGATAATAATTAGCTAACCCAAGGAATGACTGCAACTCCAAGACATTAGTGGGTGGCTGCCACTCTTGAATAGCTTTGACCTTCTCTTAGTCCATTTTAAAGCATCCATGCTCAACAATGTGCCCTAGGAACTTAATCCTCTCTTGGGCAAAAGAACACTTCTCTAGCTTCACATAAAGGTTGGGCTCCCTCAACTTGGTAAGGGCCTTTTGAAAATGCTCTACGTGCTCTTCTAAAGTGGAGCTATAAATTACAATGTCATCCAAATATACTACCACGAATTGATCTAAATGCTCTTGAAAAACTTCATTCATCATGGTGCAGAATGTTCTTGGGGCATTGGTCAAGCCAAATGGCATGACAAGGAACTCATAGGAGCCATAACGAGTAACACAAGTAGTTTTAGGCCTGTCTCCCTCGACAATTCTTACTTGATAGTACCCCGATCAAAGATCTAGCTTTGTGAAATACCTCGCTTTGCTAAATTGATCAAATGAATTTGCAATGAGAGGAAGGGGATACTTGTTCTTGATGGTTAGCCTGTTGAGTGCCCGATAATCCACATATAAGTGAAGAATACCATCATGCTTCTTTTAGAATAAGACAAGTGCACCGAATGAGGCCTTAGATGGCCTAATGAAGCCTGTTTCCAACTCTGTAAGCTGTTTCCTTAACTCATTCAACCCAGGAATAGCCATTCTATATAGTGCATGAGCTGGTGGCTTTGCCCCTGGCACCAACTCGATAGCGTGATCCACACCTCGGCGTGGAGGCAACTCCTTAAACAACAATTTAGGCATAACATCTGCAAATTGCCTTAAGACCTTCTTGATTGCAGCTAGGACAAGAGTAGATTTGAAAGGTTCATTCAACTTCAATGCGGCAACCCAAGTTTGCTCACCAAGCCTAACACCCCTCTTGAGTTAGCTGGGACAAACCGGTCACTGTTGTTGGTGGCCATAGCAGGAATAAGACATGGCTTATTTACCATGACATACATACTATTAGAATAAGGCATGACTGTCGTCTTTGTGCTTCTCAAGAAATCCAACCCAATTTTCTCCCTTTGCGTGGGTTGAAGGTTGCTAGTAGCATCCATTTAGAAAGCCAATAATAGAGAAAGTCAAATAGACTAGGCTCTGATACCAACTGTCACACCTTGGCAATGCGAAAGCCTTGACAAAGATATGCAAGTGTGTGTGGCGATAGTTAACTCTCTTCACTAGCCTGCTAATAAAGCTCAAAGGTTTGCAAAGACAAGCAAACACAATATTAGTTAAGTTGATGAGCCACAAGATTAGAGACAAGCCACAAAATAGCAAGCAACAAGATAAAATTAAAGCAAATAACAATTGAAAAGTTTTGCACAATTTAAAGACGAAATGAACTTTTCATTGATCAAAAGAAGATATTACAATAGTTGAACAATGCACCAAAAGTGCTACAAAAGTTTTCTTACCATAAGTTAGGTTGGGGTACTTTAAAGGCACAAGTGGTCTGGTTCAACACTTGGTTACCCCCTCCTAAATATAGCTTGTTAAGCCATTTTCTAGTTGGCAAGAGGAAACATCCACTATGTTTGAGGAGTCATAATGGATTTTTAAAAATTCTACAAAAAGAGAAACATTACAATACTTGGACCCAAAACACCTTTAATACTAAGGTGTTTACATAAAAATTTATAAGGAAAAAAGACTACATTTGTCCCTCCAAAAGTTGGCCTCAAGTTGTTGCTGGGCAAACAAGTCTGTGGCCTGTTGTGGCTGGGCTGCTTCATGGTATGCCTTGGTCGTTGGCTTGCACTTCACCAACAATTTCTTGGGCATGTTTTTGGCTCTCCAAAGGGCACAAATGAGTGTGGCATCAAGGTGTGGACCCTTGGATGGGCGCACCTTGACACCACGCCACTAGACAGACATAGTGGGACACAAATTAATGAAACAAAGGTAGATATATAGTTGGTCTAGCCAGCCTTACGGTTCCTCGCACGACAAAACACACAGCTGGAATTGAAGAGAATTAAAGCCATGTGCTTGTCGAAATCGTTGGGATATATAATTCTGAAGGATTTGGTTCTCCAAAAAATAAAATAAATAAAATTCTGAATGATTAAGTACGTAAAAGTACACAAAAATATGAAAATTGTGTAATTTTGTGCTTTAATATTTAAAATTGTGTAATCTCCAATATATAAAAAGTATTTAAATTTAGTTTGCCTATCAATTTTCGTTAATAGATGCTATCAAAATCAATGATAAATGTGAAAACTATCACTTAAAATTATACTTTTAGTCTTCAAAATATATGATGTGTCACTAATGTGAAAACTTACTCAAAAAATTACACTTCAGTCCTAACATATTTGATCTTTGCTATTTTAATATTCAAAATTACACATTTATCACTGACTTAAATGGAACGAAATTTGATTAGCAGATGAAATTGAAACATTTTCTATACATTTAGGCCAAATAGACAATTTAAACATTATGGATCAAAATGACATAAACTTCAAATTTTGAGGACCAAAAATGTAATTAACCAAAATTTGAAAGTTGAGTTCATTTCCAAATTAAATACCCAAAGTTGTTATAGTGATCCTTTATTCATTAAAGTTTAGCCATTAATTCTTAGTACTCTTTTTAGACAGGACAGGATTAATTCTTAGTACTCGAAAGGAACAATTTTTGTTCATAGGATTTACAAATTAAATGAAAAGCTTTAATTTGGTTGACTCCATCAATCCATACTTATAACATAAATTTCAAATTCATCATCTATAAATTCACATGTTTATGTTGAGAATTTCAAGACATTAAATTACCTAAAAATTTTATCATTTTCTTGAATTGTAATTGTCCGTATAACACAATAACAAGTCACAGATTATTGATACCAATTTGTGTCCTGATTAACACTTGTAACCATGACAAATGACGGTAAGCAAAAGCTACACATAGTGGTGTTCCCATGGTTGGCCTTTGGTCACACGATCCCATTCTTAGAGCTGGCCAAGATATGGCAAGAAGGGGTCATCAAGTCTCCTTCCTATCAACCCCAAGAAACATTGAGCGCTTACCAAGAATTCCATCAAATTTATCCCCATTGACAAGCTTAGTGAAAGCTTCATTTGCCCCCAATCGATGGCCTCCTGGACAACACGGAGGCCACCATTGACCTACCCTCTGACAAGATTCATTTCCTCAAGAAGGCCTACAATGGTCTCAAGGACGAGTTGACTCAATTCTTACAAGCTTCATCCCCGGATTGGGTTATTTATGACTTTGCTCCTTATTGGTTACCGCAAATTGCGGCAGAGCTTGCCATCTCACGTGACTTCTTCAACGTAGTTAACACCTGGTTTTTGGCTTTTTTTACGGTCACCATCTGCATTGATTGACAGCTTTGATCCACGGACAAAGCTGGAAGACTTTACGGTCCCACCTAAATGGATCTTGTCTTTTTCCAACTTGGCCCACCGGTATTACGAGATCAAGTGGATCGTGAAGGCAGCACAAAACATTACCTCAGATGTTTTGGACACGTATCGACTTGGGTCCGCAATTGTTGGGTGCAACGTGCTTGCCACACGTGATTGTGAAGAGTTCGAAGCCCATTGGTTGACACTCCTCTAACAACTTAGCAAAAAGCCTGTAGTACCAGTGGGTTTGATGCCCCCATTGGTTGACATTAGCATGGAGGAAACAAGTGACACGTGGTTGTCAATCAGTGGTTGGCTAGAAAATCAAGCCAAGGGTTTTGTGATTTATGTAGGACTCGGAAATGAGTTGACTCTGAATCAAGAAACACTTACTAAGTTAGCTCTCAGCCTAGAGATATCTAGTTTTCCCTTCTTTTGGCCCCTTAGAAATCCATCTAACTCGAAGGAGTCAAATTCAGTGGAGTTGCCAAACGGGTTTTAAGAGCGAACCAAAGGTCATGGAGTCTTGTGGACGACCTGGGTGCCTCAACTCAGGATATTGACTCATGACTCAGTGGGTGGTTTCTTGACTCACAGTGGTTGGAGTTCAATTATTGAGGGCCTTCAATTTGGACATACACTTATTATGTTGCCCTTCATGGTAGAGCAAGGATTGAATGCTAGGATTTTTGAGAAAAACAAGGTAGGTATAGAAATATCGAGAGATGATCGAGACGGGTTATTGTACCGGAACTCAGTAGTTGAGTCACTGAAGTTGGTAATAACTGACGATAAGGGAAAGGTTTATAGGGATAAAGCTAGAGAGATGATCTATTTGGTGACAAACTTCGACATGGCCATTATATAGACATATTTATCGAGCATCTACAAAACTGCAGAAGTCTTCACAAGGATTAAGTTAATGGAGTTCTTAGTAACAAATATTATGCTTTTAAGTAATATGCATTTTATTTGAAGCGAAGGCTTATTTTCATTATCTTGTAATGCAAACAAACTATTTGTTGCTTTGAAAATAAAATGCCATTAGGTTGTTTTCTAATCCTCTACATTTAACCTGTGTCACACATATCTTATAAGGGAGTAGCTTCCCTCTAATCCTAAATTGAACTGGAGAGTGTTGTTGGGCCTGTGAGGTCCCACTACAGATCCCTTTTTGATAATCTAAACCGTTCAATGTATATAACTTGTTAAGTACTTTATGTCTATAAAAAATCTCGTTGATCAAATATCGATAGCTATGCGATCAAATCAATTTTGTATAAATAAAAAAAAATGGACAGTGAACAAATTAACGGTTGACAGAAAACTGATTCGATGAGATAGCTATCGATATTTGATCAATGTGATTTTTTACAAACATATAGTGCTCGACGAGATTTACAAATTGAACGGTTCGGATTATCAAACCGGGACCCGTGGTGGGCCCTCATAAGCCCAACAGCAACCCAGTCCCTCTAGGACTGGAAGAAAGCTGCTTCCATCTTATAATCATAGATTTCTAACAACTCCATTGATTGAACTAATTCTGACTGTCCATGGTGACAGGTAGAACAAATGTCCCAAATAGAATTTAAAAAGAGTCTTCCATTGTTATATAGATTTAAATATCAAATTATTCATCTAAATACAAAATATCAAAAATAAAATGACACATTGTCTTTTTATTTATTTATTCATTGGTCATCCAAATACAACAAACATAAATAACAATTACTTCAGCCTTTTTACAAGTTCCAATATCACAATTTAAAACCATGTTTTCCACTTAAAACTCAACCTTCATGAACGCATCTACTATTTTTTGAGAGATACTCATCAAAATTGTGCGTGTACTGATCATGTAGGACCTTGTCACCAAATAGGGAACTCATTTCTCTTGCTTTCTTCCTATAAATTAATCCCTCGTTATTGTCTACCATAACCAATCTGATTGAGTCGGCCACTAAGTTCCTTGTGAAGGACCCATCTTCTTCATCTATGGGTATCTCAATCCTAACCTTCTTCTTATGGAGTACCCTTGCATTTAAACCTTGGTCTACCATGAACGGCAACATAATAAGTGGTTTCCCAAACTAGAGTCCCTCTATCATGGAACTCCATCCATAGTGAGTCAAGAAACCTTCCACTAATTCATGACCCAATATCTTCAGTTGAGGCGTCCAACTCTTCCGCACTACTCCTCGACTTCTGGTTCGCTCCTCGAACCCATCCGGCAGCTCCACCAATTCGGACTTGTTCGAACCAAGCAGCTTCCTTAATGCCCAGAAAAAGGGCAAACCAAAGAGCTCCAACCCAAGGCCAACTCAGTGACTTCTTCTTGACTCAGCATGGCTTCGCTCCCCAATGCTACGTAAACCACAGAGCCATTGTTTTGGTTGTTGAGTTGCTCACTGATTGAAATCCACGTCTCGTTGACTCCACCGTATTCAACCACCGCCAGTGGCATTAAGCCGAGTGGAATTACAAGTTTGGGTTGAAGATCTTGGAGGAGAGTTAACCATTGGGGCTCAAACTCTGTGTGGTGTCATATGGCGTAGACGTCGCACCCCAACACTACTGATCCATATCAATATAAGTCGGAAACCCTAGAGGCATTATTTATTGCACAAGCTAGGATTCACTTTGTCTCATAGAGGCGATAGGCTACGTTGGTAATTGGACCCACTTAGGTGGGATAGTGAACTGCTTCATCTCCATCAGGGTATCATCAGAACCATCGATCAAAGCCGATGCCGGACCATAGAAAGTTGCATGCCAAGCGTTGAAGATGAGGAAAAAGGCGCGAGAAATGCTGAGTTTGGTGGCGATAAGGGGCAACCAATAAGGAGCAAAGTCGTAAATGATCCAATCAAGTGCGGAAGCTTGAAGGAAGCCAGCCAACCCAGTCTCGAGTCCGTCGAAGGCTTTCTTCAGGTAAGGAATATGGTCGGAGGGGACGTCCATGGTAGCCTCTACGTTTTCAAGAAGGTGGTCGTCGACGTGGGGCAATGGGAGCTCAACAAATTGTATGAAAGGAGATAAATTATGAGGCAGGTTTGGCAAGCGTTGGATGTTTCTGGGTATGGATGCAAAGGAAATCTTGTGATCCTTTTGGGCAATTAATTTGGCGAGGTCTAAGTATGGCATTATATGGCCAAAGGCTAGCCATTGGAACATAACTGTATGGAGCCTCTGTTGACGATTGGCTCAGATTTTCCTTGTCAACGATGGCTGCTGATTGAAGAAGAAATGAAGAAGCTAAACATTTAGCCGAGCTACTCATGATAGGGTGGCTAATCTTGTTGGTGGTTGCCTTTAATGTTGTCGACAACTTGGCTCTCCCATTGCATCTATAAATGGGTAGTGAATGAGAGGAGTTTTGTGTGATGAAATCAGAGAGTGAGAGAGTTACAAAGTGTAAACAACAGAGTGAGTGTGAGTGTGAGTGTGAGTGTGAGTAGAGTGAGAGTATTGTCCCATCCTCCTCCATTGTTGTAATATGTTCATTTCTCTCCATATAGTGAAATCCACTGCTTGTGGACGTAGGCGATTTGTCGAACCACATAAATCTTTGTGTGTTCTTGCTTATGGGCTTGTGTGTTATTGTTTTCTACCTCCTAGGCACAACAAATTGGTATCAGAGCATTATTGTGTGAAAAACAGAGTAATTTTCTACAAACTAAAAATTTTGAAGTTGTCGAAATTGAGTTTTCAGCCTACCAGGACGACCGCCTCAACGAGAGTAGTTCAGACCCAGAAAGACCAACCCACGAGGACACTTCACATGCCCTCACGCGCTTGCCGAAGTTTTGCCGGAGGCTTGCCAGAAAGCTTAGTCCGGTGAAGAAGTCAACCTGTCCTAAAGGTTTTAAGTACTCACTTGTGCACTAATACAACACGAGTTCACACTTGGCACAGTGGTTAGAGCTTTGGTTCGAAGCTTAAGATCAAGGGTTCAATCCTCCACAAACAAATTTCTAAATTGTTTTTGGAAGCTAACACGCCATCACCATGTCACTGCCACATCAGCGCCACGTACTGCCATGTCATCGACAGTCCAGCTGTCATATCCGCGCTATGTACTACCATATGTAAAGCCATGCCAGCAATAGCTCAATCGACACATTAGCACACATGTTTGCCACATCTGCCACGTCATCAACCCAGTTAGCTAAATTTTTTTAAATTACAGGGAGGCCCCTAAAAGTTTGAAAAATTGCATTTCAGTCCCTGATCTTGCTGAAATTATAATTTAGCCCCTAAAACTTCTATAAATTGTAGTAAGGTCCCTAGAGTTTTGAGAAATTGTAATTTAGCCCCTAGATTTAGAGAAATTTCATTGAGGTCCCAAGAGAGGTGGAGAAAATGATTTCCTAGCTAAATCAACCATTCCAGACATAACCGCGGATTCCATTTTTTGAGATTCGGACCCAAATTTTCAGTGAAATTTTTTGGGAGCTTAGAATTTGTCGTGTTCCGGGCATTTCAAGTGTCCGTTATTGTTTATGGTGGAGATTATTGAGCAGTTTCAATGGCAGAATCTACAGAGATAAGATCAACCGAGTCCAGTGACTACAAGCAACTCTAGGCATTGGACCCTGATGTCCCATGCTAAGTTTGAAGTAGAAAAGTTTGATGGAAGTAGCAATTTCGACATATGGAGATGCGAAGTTAAAGATATGTTTGTCTAGATGAACCTGCACTTCACTTTGGGAGACAAACCAGATGACTTAGACGAGATAGAATGGGAGAAAGTGAATCTCCTAGCCTATAGTTTCATCCGACTTTTCCTTGCAAAAGAGAAAAAGTACGCCTTGACAGAATATGATACTACGAATAAGCTTTGGAAAGCGCTAAATACAAGTTCCTGACAAAAAGCATTGAGAACCGGCTTTACTTGAAGAAGAGGTTGTTTCGTTTTCACTACTGTGGGAGAGTGGTTCTGGAAACTCTTTTGATCCAACGGGGCACTCGAGATCCTCAGCTAGTGACCTGAAAAAGAATGAACACTCCGGTCGAGGGTGCCGGATTTAGCACTCCAACGGATAAGTCAGTAAATACTCTCTCGATTGCTTGTATCTTAAGTTAAGCGTACTAGTTCTCACCTACCTCTTTTTGTGGCTATTCTTCTTGTATTTATACTTGCCCCATGGGCCTCAGGGTCTGGCTCACTTTTAATCCACCCTGTCAATGCTCACTCGACTTTTTCCGTTATAAATCAATTCTCACTCAACTCCCCGCTTAACTGGCTCAGGGGCTGATTAAGGCGTTCATCTTCCGAAAGATGCAAGGTGGGGCTGAATAGGGATGTTCATTCAATAAGCTTCGAAGTATGTACACGACCCCCTCTGCAGTCCTCGAAACTCAGCTCCCATAACTATAAGAAAAGTATTTTGATGAACGAACACCTAAACAATGTCACCAAAATTCTTGTCGATTTGAAAAACTTGGATGTTCAAATTGATGATGAAGATAAAGCACTGTTATTGTTGAATTCCTTGCTTGACAGATATGGTCATCTCACCACCACTTACTGTATGGTAAAGAAAAGATCAAGTATGTTGATATTTTAAACGCCTTGGTAAATAATGAGTTCATAAGGAAAGATAAATCTGCAAACAAGGACTCAACATCAGAGGCATTGACAGTCAGAGGCAGGACGAATAACAGAAAATATACAGGGCGGGGAAAGTCTCGCTCAAAATCTAGAGGGAGATCATCAAATAGAAGACGTCTTGCAAAAGATGAGTGTGCTGCATGTCACCAGAAGGGGCATTGGGCAAAAGATTGTCCCAATAAAGACAAGAAAGATGAAAAGGTGAACGTTGCACAAGATGGAGATAATGGTGAAGGATTAGCCTTCAAAGT